CTCTCGGCTGCTCTCGGCTGCTCTCGGCTGCTCTCGGCTGCTCTCGGCTGCTCTCGGCTGCTCTCGGACCAGCGGTCAGCCGGAGCGACACGGTGTGCGCCACCAGAGCACACGAGGTGGATGTCGTGCTTGCGGCCCGCCTGCGCAGCCGGTATCAGCAGCCGGCAAGAGCGTGCGTCCTTGCACTTGTTCGGCGCGTGCGAGAGCAAGGCGTACATCCGCACGACCTGAGTGATGCCTCGAATACCTCGGCTACACCTCGGCTACACCTCGGCTACACCTCGGCTACACCTCGGCTAGACCTCGGCTAGACCTCGGCTAGATCTCGGCTAGACCTCGGCTAGACCTCGGCTAGATCTCGGCTAGATCTCGGCTAGATCTCGGCTAGACCTCGGCTAGATCTCGGCTAGACCTCGGCTAGATCTCGGCTACATCTCGGCTAGATCTCGGCTAGATCTCGGCTAGATCTCGGCTAGATCTCGCCGAGTAGGACGTCTCGACCGCCTCGGGCGCGTGCTCCGGCGCAGCGATCACGCAGCCGGCCTAGTCCCATACCTCCAGAGTGTCGAATCCAGTGTGGGCTCAGCTCGGTGGGTGGTGCGGTATCACGCGGCCACACCTCCACCGACACCCCCTCCGAAGTCACTCCGCACGCGGTGCCATCGGGGCGGTACATCAGCCCGTCGACTGGCCGCCCGACGAGGGACGCGCCGCCGTGCTGCGCGAGCACCTAGCGGTGGTAGCAGTAATAGTAGTAGTAATAGTAGTAGTAATGGTGGTCGTCGTAAGAGTAGTAAGTGGTCATCATAGTAGCTGTAGAAGTAGTAGTAGTAGTGGTGGTAGCTGCGCGAGCACCTTGGCCGCGCCGCGAGCGAAGGCGGAGCCGCTGCCCTTGACTGGGTAGACGTACCTATTGGGGGCGGTGGAGAGAAGGCCTGTGTGGGGGGGGGCGGGTCCGACAAGGACACCGCCGTCCTCGACCCGGGCGCACGCACGGGGGGGGGGAGAGGGGGAGAGAGGGAGAGGGAGGGAGAGAGAGAGAGAGCACACCCCCCCCCCCTCTCCCGTTTCTCCCATGACGCTAAAGGCACGCACGGCGACGTCATGTACTGGAAGGTCTTGAACGAGCCGCGGTACCGCTTCATGGCTCGCACAAGGTCGAGGGCTGTCCGCTTCCGGAGCGGGCGCGTTGGCGCGCCGGGCGCCTGCGAGGAATGAGGACTGATCGATCGCCTCTCATGAGTGAACGTGCGCTTGCCGCCTGCGCGCTGGAAGTCGCCAGCGCCGGGACGGGAGCACGGCTGGAGGTGCGGCGCATTGAGCGCAGAGCTTGAGCACAGAGCGAGTACAGAGCGAGTACAGAGCGAGTACAGAGCGAGTACAGAGCGAGTACAGAGCGAGTACAGAGCGAGTACAGAGCGAGTACAGAGCGAGTACAGAGCGAGTACAGAGCGAGTACAGAGCGAGTACAGAGCGAGTACAGAGCGAGTACAGAGCGAGTACAGAGCGAGTACAGAGCGAGTACAGAGCGAGTACAGAGCGAGGGAGACGTGTCCTCTCGAGCGCTGGCTGGGAGACCAGGACACTGGGTCTTCCGCTTCTAGGGCCGGCCGCCTCGCCCAGCCCAGCCGAGAGCAGCTGCGCGGTCTCGGGCGCGACGTCCCAGTAGCGGAAGAAGGAGGCTGCCGACATCTTGCCGAGCGGCAGCCGCTTCTTGGACAGCCGGCCGGCGACGTACCTGCAGTGGTGTTGCCGTGACGTGACGTGATGTGATGTGGCGTGATTTGGAGGTGTATACCGCATCTATTGACTGTGGGGATGCCGCGGGCGTGTCGTGATCGCGGGCGCATCTCTCGGCTATATCTCGGCAAATCTCGGCTGACGGCGCACGTGCCCGGGACCGACTCGTCCCACTTGTCGAGCCAAGCGAGGAGGAGGACGACTTTGGGCTTCTCGAGCGGCGGCAGCGAGCGCGTCTTGAGCACGTCCTCCGCCTAATCTCGGGTGATCTCGGGTGATCTCGGCTGATCTCAGCAGCGAGCGCTCTTGAGCACGGCCTCCGCCGTCACGAGCACGCGGTGCACGTCGCTCGATCCGTCGGGCTTGGTGCGGTAGAGGAAGGAGCGGTGCACGCGCCGAAAGTCCATCTGCTGCCACAGGCCGGACGACACCAGCATCTCAAGCTCCTTGCCGCCCGCCATCAGCACCTTTGGAGCGACGTCTGCCGAGTACTCCTCCGGTGTTCCGAGCTTCAGCTTGGGCTCGGGCTTCTCGCCGGGGGCGCCCATCCGCTCGTACAGCTGGCCGAGGTCGAGGCTCGCCGCCACCCCACCCGGCGCGCGCCGCGGCTCCAGCTGCAGCACGCTCTTGCCGTTGGACGCGAGCAGCGATGCGAGCAGCGACTCCTTTGGCCCGGAGCCGAGGACGACCGCGTCGTACCGCTTGTCGAAGGAGGAACGCCAGCTGGTAGCGTCGCTGGCTGTGGCCGAGCCCGAGATCGAGGCAAGCAGCAGCGCGAGGCGCATCGGAGACGCCAACGACGAGGAGGCGAGTGGCTGAAAAAATGGCACTTTTTCGGTGCTGGTAGCCCCCCCAAAACAGGCGCGCGCAGCGCGCCCAGGGGCGCCGCAGGCGCCCCAAGCGGCGCGGAGCGCCGCCGCAGGCGGCGGACAGCAGGTGCGCGAAATTAAACGCCATTTTCGGCTCCGCGGTTTTGCCACTAACATTGAAATCCGGTACAAAACGACTTAGCCGAAACAACAGACAGACAGACAGAGAGCACACACGTTCGAGACGGGGGTGCGCCGACCACCGTCGCGGACCCAGTAGAGCTAGATGGTCCCACATGATGCGCCCTTAGCCTCTGAGCTCGTCCTAGACGTTTTAGGGAAGCGTGGGCAGACCAGAACGCGGCCACGGCGACGCTCCGAGGCTATCAGCAGCGCTGGCGGCGATCGTGGCGACGGCGCCTCGCCGCTGCAGCGGCACAGAATCGAGGAAGTGGCGTTGGTGGCAGCATCAATGAGATATGAAGGCGGCCGTAATGCTGGTGGCGCCTTCGAGGGCGGCGGGGAGGGCGGTAGCAGCGACGGCGGTCGAGTCATGTGGCAGGGGTGGCAAGATGCAGCAGGGAGGCTTGAGTTAGCGACGCGGGGCGGTGGCGTGCCAGCAGGTAAGCGGCGGCGGCGGAGAGCAGGTGCGCGAAATAAAGGCCAATCTTGAGATATCCATTTTGCACCACCTTTGGATTTCTGGTACAAATTGACTTGTGGATCTTGAAGGCACGCGCAAGAGCGCACCAGGCAAGTTGACTCAACCTCGGATCTCGCTGCCGCTAAGCGTGGCGTCGATTATCAAACGAGCGGTGACAGTAGCGGTGGCAGCGGCGGCAGCGTCGACAGGAGCACCTACTGCAGTGTCAAATGTGAGCTGGGAGGCGGGAGGCAGATGCAATAGGAGCGGGAGAGTGAGATCGTCAGCCAGCAAGGCAGACCTTTACGGCGCGGCTGCGGGCGCGTTTGCAGTGACATGCGATCCATGTGGCAGCAAAGGCACGGCGGGAGTAGCGCGTATGCAGGCTGGTGAGCGAGGGTGGCGCGTCGCGAGTGGCGGTGCAGCCAGTCGGTGGCGGGTGCTGGCGACCGGCAGAGAGATGCAGACGGCGCGAGAGATGACCCTGCGGAGAGGCGAGGTGACGGGCGATCCGCGACGGTGGGAGAGGGCTGAGCATCGCCATGTCTCGCTCCGGCACCATCTTGCCGAAGCGCAGGCCCGGGAAGGCGGTGTTTTTGATGTAGCGGAGCCGCGCCGTGTCGTGCTTGTTGTACCGCCCTTGGCGGCCGGCGTAGCGCTGGTGCACACCGTGCAAGATCGACTGCAGCTCGAGCTGGTGGCTGACGATGTCCTCGCCGCTCTGCAGCGCCGGCGACAGGCACATGGCGCCAGCAGAGAGATCTGCGAACAGGGCGAGTCGACGCTGGCAGGTCAAGCAGCGTCGACTCGCTACCAGCAACGAATGGGTACCCTCCCCGAAAAAATCCCGGGAGCCAATTTTCGAGCGGCCCGGCGTCCGGGAGGTGTCAACAGCTACGAACGTGCAGAGCACCGTGAATAGCAGCCTGAATTCTTGCGGCACGCTGGCTAAACTTGGGTTGGCAAAGCGCACGACGACCGACCCGGCCCGCCGACATTCGGGTCGCCCTCGCGCTTAGCGGGAAGATTGGCATCTCTCACGGGAAGACGCGACCAACGGCGACGGAGAGCGACCTCATCTTCAACCTCTCGTCCCTCTGCCTCCAGCGCAACATCCTTCACCCAAAGCCGGGCCAGATCGTGACAGTTTTTGTCCACTCGTGGGATGTGCCATGGAGAGACCGCATCGCGCAGGCGTGTGAGTGAACTAGACAAAGGTAGCCGGCGCGAATCCGCGTCCACATCTCAGCAGTCGGGGACCCGCATAGACACATGTCGTTCCTTGCAGGCTTTGAGGCCGGCTGCCTATCGCTTCGAGGAGCAGCGCTTCTTCCGGCCACCCACGACCCCGTCGTCCGGATTTGATGTCGCGTGCCGCCCGCCCGCCGCGCCAGTCTCCCGTTTTAGCAAAAACATGTATTTCTCTTTCCACCGGCTCGATCCGACTCCATTTCCGGCTGGTGTCGCTCGCCTGTCGCTCGGGCGCCGGCGGAGTTGCTTTTCCGACGACCAAGTAAATCGCGTCGTGCGAGATACGGCCGGTGTGTGCATTAGTTTACTGATGCCTTGTCTCCACTCTCGCATAACATAAATAAGTAATGGACGACGAAAACAGCAATTCTGACGACGACTTCTGCTCCTACTCTCCCCGCTGCGCAGCCGCCGCGGCGCCCGGGCACGCGCCTTTCGGGGCCCTTGCCCCTTCGCGCGGCCCAGCGCCTAACTAGCGCTGCCCGGGGCGCTGCCCCTGGCACGTGTGGCCCCTCTTTGGCAAGCCGCACACGCGGCAATGGTAGACCCCCTTTGGCTTGGCGGCGTCCGCCCCGCCGGCGGAGCCTGCGCCTCGGCCGCGTCCGCCGCGCCCACGTCCGCGTCCGCGATACGCCCCAGCCGGCGGGTGGCTGCTTGCCGCGCCATTAGCCGACCGCGCTCCCGGGCTCGAGGTCGCGTCGCGCAGCAGCGACGTGGAGTTCCAGCCAGGGGGCAGGATGCGCCTGCCATCGCCACCGCCCGCGGGGGGCGTGACGCTACCGCTGGCGGCGTGCCCACCGGCGGCGGCAGGGCCGCCGCCCCCATTGCCTGCCTCCGATGGTGGCCGGCGGGCGGCTGCCTGCGACCGCGGCGAGAGCGGCGGCGGCGCTGGCGACGCCGGCGCTGCCCTCGGTGGGGTCGACATCTGCGGCAGTTCGAACTCCTGCGATGCCTGCGAGGCGTTGGAGTCCTGAGATGCGCTCGATCTTGCCTCGGCCGGCGGCGTCGCATCCTCGGGCTCCTGCGTGGCGTTGGGGTCCACGCCGCCGCCTCCGCCGCCTCCGCCGCCTCCGCCGCCTCCGCCGCCTCCGCCTCCGCCGCCTCCGCCGCCTCCGCCGCCTCCGCCTCCGCTTCCGCCGCCGCCGCCGCCGCCGCCGCCGCCGCCGCCGCCGCCGCCGCCGCCGCCGCCGCCGCCGCCGCCGGGCTCCTGTGTGGCGTCAGCGTCGTCGTCGGATTCACCGATGTCCATGCCCTGCAGGCGCTCTCCAACCTCGTCCCCGACCCCCCTCTCGCCCTCGGTCTCCTCCTCCTCACCCTCCTCCTCCTCCTCGCTGTGGTCGCCACCCTCCATCGCGCTTGACTCAGAGGCGGTGGGGGGGCCGGCTCTGAACTGGCCATTGTCGTCGGCCAAAGCGCCCGCCGCACCCGCCTCGTCCGCTGACGCCGCCTCGCCGGCCGCGCCCGCTGCTTTCGCCGCGCCCGCCGCTCCCGCTGCTCCCGCCGCGCCCGCCGCTCCCGCTGCTCCCGCCGCGCCCGCCGGGCCGAATGCGAACGCGCCGTTGTGGGACTCGACCTGCTCCAGCGTCATCGGCGGCGGCGACCTGCCTGCCGGCGGCGGGTGCGCGCCATCTCTCGCCTCGGCGGCGACCGCGTCCGCGTCCGCGCTCACCTCGGCCACCGCCCTGCTGATGTCCGCCTCGCCTCGCACCGCGAAGGACTTGACGCAACCGCCAGTCTCGTCGAGGGTTGCGAGGACGGGCAGCCAGCGGCGGGTGGGCTCGCCGCCGTTCCGGCCGGTGGGCAGCGCGCACGAGAGGGAGAGGAAGCGCCTGGCGCGCGACATCGCCGTGTAGAGCAGCCGCACCTTCTCGAGCTGCTGCGCCTGCACCTTGTCCGCCAGCGCCGGGTCGCCGCCGCCCGAGCGGCAGAAGATGCTCCAGCCAAAGGCGGGCTGCGCCTCGTCCGTCTTGGTCGAGTCGTAGTTGAGGCGCACCACGCACACGACGTCGCACTCCCACCCCTTGACGGAGTGGATCGTGCCGAGCGTCACGCGTCCGTACGGGGGGTGGGGAGGCGGCGGCGGGTCCTTGTCCTTGCGCTCGGCGTAAGGGATGCCGGCGTTCTTCAGCTCGTCCATGAAGTCCGTCAGGTGGCTGCTGCTCAGCGCGAGCACGCTCATCTCGCCCCACGCCTTGCCGCGGTCGCGCCACATGCGCAGCTGATCGAGCACCAGCCGCACCTCGAGCGCGTCGCTCTCGCACCGCACGCGGTAGGCGGGCAGACCGCCGGCGTGCACGCTCCGCAGGGGCGGGTCCTTGGCGCGCACCAGGCTGTACGCGCACACGAGGCGCGTGGTGCTGCGGTGGTGCTCCGTGAGGGGGACGCACACGAGGCCGCCCGCGCGGCGGACTGAGGGAGGCAGCGCGTCGTCACGCGGCAGCAGCGCGGCGAGCTCGTCAAACTGCTTCGCCTTGAGCGCCTCCATCAGCCTCGCGTTGGCACCGCGGAAGCCGTAGATCGCCTGGTCCACGTCGCCCACGACGGTGAGGCGGCACTCGCCTGTTCACAGCTAGAGGTGTGAAGAGACGCTGTTCACAGCTAGAGGTGTAGGTGAGGCGGCACTCGCCAGCGTGCGAGGCGAGGCGCAGCACGAGCTCGAGCTGGACGGCGTCCGTGTCCTGGCCCTCGTCGAGGAGGTAGTGCGCCCCTTGAAAGGCCGGCGGCACGCCCTCCCTCCGCACCTTTTCCAGCGCCTGCAGCGGCACCTCGTTGATGTGCAGCCAGCCCTTCTCGCGCGCCATCGCGACAAAGCGCCGCACTGCGGGCGGCGCCTCCTCGACGCCCTTGCCCGAGCGGCAGTAGGCGTCGAACGGCCCGCTGCAGCCGAGAAACTCGCTCACTGCGGCCGACAAGTCGGAGTGGGACACCTTGCGCGCCGCGGCGCGCAGCGGCTCCATGCAGTCCCACTCCTGCTCGTAGGCGCACTTCGCCTCGTCGGGCACTCGGTCGCCCTGGGGGCCCGCGGTGTTGAGCCCGGCCTTTGCGCACATATCCTTGCACAGGTGGCGCAAGGCGCCGAAGTCCTTGCCGTCCAGCGGCGGAGGGTGCAGCACCTGCGGAGAGGGAGGGGGGGGGGGGGGGTCGCCCTCCCTGAGACCCCGTGTGTGGCGTGTCTGACTGTCACTGTGCTGTCGTGCGATTCGGGCCCCCCGGGCCGTGCTTTGACGTGCGGCACCTGCGCCCGGAACGCGGCCTGGAGGCGGCGCAACCGCTCCTCAGGCCACTGCTGCTCAAACAGCGCTCGGAGCGCGAGATCCTCCGCCTGCGGCGGCGACATGATCTCGGACCTTCCGAGCAGGGCGAGGGAGAGGGCGTGGATCGTCGACACGCACGGCTGGCCGACGATCGTCGGCATCTTGAGTTTGATCCGAGCCTTGAGCTCGGCCGCGGCGACGACGGTGAAGGTGATTGGCCGGATCTTGTCCGCCGGCACGCCGCGCGCGAGGAAGAAAGCGACGCGAGCGACGGTCGTCTCGGTCTTGCCGGTGCCGGGGCCCGCCGAGACGAGGACGAGGACGTTCTCCGGCGCGGAGGCGGCATCGTACTGCGCGGTGTTGAGCCTCCACGGCTCGGAGCGCTCGCACGGCGCCAGCCGCTTCTGCGCAGACGCGGCGCGCAGCTCGTCGCGCAGCTGCTTGCGCACGCTTTCCGACTCGGCCTGGCCGGCGGGCTGATCGACGACCCGCGCTTCCGCCGTGACGACCTCCATGGGCTGCGGCGGCTGCGGCGGCTGCGGCGGCGGCGGCTGCGGCGGCTGCGGCGGCTGCTGCTGTGGCTGCGGCGGAGGCGAACGCTGCTGTCGCGAAGGCTGCTGCGGCGGTGGCGATAGGCGACGATCCTCAGACCACTTCACCTGCCCGAAGAAGAAGGTGTAGGGCGTGCCGTACTGTATCTGATACCTCTTGACCATGTTGCAAACCTGCTCCAGCATGTTGCGTACGGCCGCCACGCCGTGCGTCCCCTGGAGCTCGACCCAGCGCCGCAGCAGCTCCTCGGTGACAAAAAAGCTGGGCGCGTCGGGGTGCGGCTTCGCGCGGACGGCAGCCACGGCCTCGTCCACCGCGGCGAGGATGGTCGGGTCGAGCTGCCCGCGCAGAGTCTGGAGCCTGCCCTTCGCCTCAGCCACCTGCCGCGCCCTCTCGGCGAGCGCCGCCTGCTTTGCCAGGTGCGCCGCCTCAGCGGCAGCCGCCACCCGCTCCATCTCCTCCACTCCGTCCTCGCTGAACGCCTGCGAGGCAGCGGCAGGCTGCGAGGCGGAGACGGCCGGCGGAGGAGGAGGAGCGTCAAGCTGCGGAGCGGCAAGAGGCTGCGGAGCGGCAAGAGGCTGCGGAGCGGCAAGAGGCGGCGGAGGAGCAGCCGTAGGCGGTGGAGCGGCAAGAGGCGGCGGAGGAGCAGCCGTAGGCGGCGGAGCGGCGGCAGGCTGCGGAGGGGCCACACCACTGGGTGCCGCCGCCGGTGGCGCGACCAGCGCCGGAGGTGGTACCGGAGTGGCCGCCGCCTCGGAGCCACCCGCCGCCGCCGCCGTCCCGAAGGCCGGGGCAAAGGAGGGTACGCTCGACGGCGCCGCACCCGATGCGCAGACGCTCGGGAGCGGCAACGCGCCAGGGGGCGGAGCCGCCCAGAGCGCCGGGGGTGGCGCGGCAATTCCCTCCACCGCGCCGAGCGGGGCCGCCGCATTTTGCTCGGAGGCTCCGGCGGCGGGCGCCCCGGCGGGCGGCTGCGGGGCGACCCACTCCTCGCCTGCAAAGGCGACGTAGACCTCGTCCTCGTCCTCGATGTCCTCGACGTCGATCTCGCGGCCGCGCTTCTTCCCGCGGAGAAAGAAGCGCACGATCTCAGGCGCCCCTGGGACGGCGCGCCCGAGCTTGTTCGCTGCGAGACGTACGAGTTCGGCATTGTCACACGGATCAGGCAACCTGATGCACCTGCTCGAGGTGGAGCCGTTGGCGAAGACGTCGATACGTCGGCGCTTGCTCCCGAGCATCGTGTCCTGCGTGTTGGTGTGTCGAGCACGCGCGTCGCGCGTGCCGCGCGTCGAACCAAAGAGTTGGTTGTCCCCTCGTGGACAGAGTTGGCCGCGTCCAAGGCCCTAGCTCATAAAAAAAGTTGTTTAGCCAGGACTCAACATACTCGTTCTGTTGCAGCGAGAAGCGGCGAGAGACTGCGAAGAGAGATAGGAAGAGGCAGACTCCCTAGGGTGGGCGACGGCTAGCTCACCACACACCTCTCCTTAAAATCCCTGTGTGGTGGCGGCGTGCCGTCCTCCCATCCCTCCCTTGGGTTGTCTGTTTTCTTTCTTTCTTTTTTGTTCTGTTGCCGTCCCAAACTGTCACTCCCCTTTCTCCCGGCCGGGGCGTGGGGCGCGCGCGGGGGCGGCGGGTGTGCGGGATGTCTGTGGGCCCGAGAGCGATGTGTGTGTGTCCGCCTTGCGTTTGTTTTCATTACATTGAAGGCTAAGCTTAAAAAATTTCCTCGATGAAAAAGAATAAACATGAGGGTATTCCCATATTCAACTAAAAAGACGCACGTGCTGAGTGGCAGCTGCGCTGGAAACAAGGAAGACGCGCGTTACTTACATAGTGTATTGGGGCGCTGCTGTAGTCTTAGGCGTCATCACTTCCGTCCAGCTCTGGAGCTGCGTCCCCCCTGCTGCCGTGTGTCGCGTGAGAGCTCGTCTGGCACTATCTGTGGTGGCTGCGCCGTTCTCTCCTGTCCGGAAGATCTCCTCCACGGTGTAGACGCCACACAGCCGCAGTCGGCTAGGGCAGCCAGTCACCAGCCAGTCACCTCGACCACAGAGATCTCTATGGCTTTGGCGAGAGATGCGAAAACCGCTCCCCCTTATCCCACTACTTTGTGTGCGTGGAGACGTTTACCTTACCTAAAGCCGGGACCTCACCTTTGTATACTAGCTCTGTGAGGCCCACAGGCACAGCTGGAGCGTGGAGGCTGGAGCGCATGCTGGAGCGACCGAAGAGCCCGCACCCATGCCCGCACGTCAATGATACTGTGTTCAATCGACACCCTACTTACATGTACATGTACATGTGCTCACTGCGCACTCCTCCGGGCGGCCTCCTACGCCTCGTGTCAAGTCCACAGTAGTGAGTCCGCCGTCCAGCTAACTCAGCGCGTGCGGCCGGCTGCTGATGCTGCTAGCCGCGCCCTGGCCGGCTCGGGTCGGCACGACGCGGCCGGTGAACTGCACAGTGGACGCAGGTGCCGGCGCTCGCTCCTTTCGCAGATCCTCGAGGAGGATCAACGCCGCGTCGAGTGCCGCCTCGGTGTCGTGGAGGTCTCCCTCCAATTCATCGATCTCGGCGCCTTTCGCCTCGATTGTACGCACGGCCGCCTCGAGCTCCGCTGTGAGCTCATTAATGAGCTCATCAAAGGCCGGCGGCGTGCCTCCGCCGCCAAGGCGATCAATCATGATGCGCTGCGCCTCTATCATCAGCCGCGCTTGCGCCAGCTCTGCTGCGGGATCATCCGAATGGCCCTGTAGAACGACGGATGCGCGGCCGATGCGTACGGTGGTCGGCCGCACCTCACTGCCGATCGGAAGGGGAGCGAACGCAAGCACGGCAGCGGCAGCTAGAGGGAGCATCCAAGCGGGTGCCAGGGTGCCAACAGAGGGACGTCAGCAGGAAATTTCAGACACTGTGGCTGGCCGTTAAATTCTTTTTACTAAACTCTCTCTCTCTGTGCGACAGGCACCAAGCCACCAACACGGGCACCCTTACTAATAATTGAGAACTCAACAGCACACCTGACGGAGGCAACAAACAAAAACACAATGGTTGCTAAAAATCTCTCTCGGAGACATCTCGTCTTCTGGACATCTTCGGGACATCTTCTGGACATCTCTTCTGGACCTCTTCTGGATCTTTTGGACATCTTCTGGACATTCTTGGGACTCCGAGAGAGTTCTTTTGTTTATATTCTTGGGACTCCCAAGAGTGGGGCGCGATGCCTAGCCCTAGGCAACCCGCATCGTGGTGGCTGCCGAATGCGGCTTGACCGGAGCCTCGGGTGTCTTCTTGCAGACCACCTTGAAATAGACGAGGAGGAAGGCCAGTCCGAGAACAATGAGCACAAGCAACGCGGCGGCGAGAATCACAACCAACCAGGTCAGCACGTCCTCCTTCTCTTCAGTACCCGGCGGCGATGGCAGCAGTGGCGGAAAGGGGGGAGGGGGAGGGGGCGACGGGGGCGGCGGAGGAGAGGGCGGCGGCGGCGGGGATAAGACCGTGCTCTGGCCGTAGGTGTTGTCACCCCAGCACTCTGCGAGCGAGTTGTCCGAGCGGATGGCGCAGGTGTGGTACCCGCCCGTGGCATCTCTCTCGCCGTCGGCGAGCTAGGGGCTCGCGGACGGCCGAATTAATATAGTGTACAGCCGTGAATGTGAACGAATGGTTTGACGTGCGTCCGTCGGTCGGATCCTCCGACAAGGTAGAGACGCCCGCACCCACGGCTTGTCTTGTTTCCCCACCCTCCCTCCCTATGTGTGCGCTGTCGCGTTTGTGCGCTGTCGCGTTTGGGATGTGAGGTTACTGACTGCACTCCAAGTGCTCCAAGGGGTTGGTCCTGCAACGGCGTCTCGTGCGGAGCAGTGGTGTGCTGTCGCGCGAGTGTTGCAGCGGGGGTCGAGGGACCTTTCCCCCCTTTGCAATTAACAATGCTTTGGAATCTATGTGTGGACATGACCTCGAGTGGAGCCCCAGTCCTCGACAGGCTCTTGCCCATGACATATAAGCTGTTGCCCATGACAGGCTGTTGCCCCTAACAGGCTGTTGCCCATGACATATAAGCTGTTGCCCATGACAGGCTGTTGCCCCTAATAGGCTGTTGCCCATGACATGTACAAGCTGTTGTCCTTGACGGCTACTGCCCATGACACTCGCGTAATACGCTGTGGCCCAGCGCTCGCCGCATCAGCAGGGTGCACTTGGAGCACTTGGAGTGCAGTCATTAACCTCATCCAGGGCCGGGGAGCTAAGAAGCGCACCCAGCGGGCCGGATGATCGGCATCGGGCTACGGGCTAGAGAGCCCTGACCCCTAGGGGGGGGTGCGCGTTCGCAGGGAAAGGGCCGTAAAATAAATCCGAGGGTTGGCCCCGCGTACCCCGGTTTCCCTTAACTGCAGGACGCGCCCTGTACTCGGAGCTATTTAATGGACGGCAGGACAAGCTCCTCTTGTAGCTCGATCGGTCACACCGCCATCGCCGTCGGGGAGAGGGGGGACGACACTGCTCTGGCAGCGTGCACCTCGATCCTGTACCGTGTTTGTTATGACCCCCCCCAATGAACACACCAGTGAGGGTGGGCGAGACGATCGAGGGGTCCCGTACCATGCGGAATCGACCCTATCCAGTGCTCAAGTGCTCAATGATCACGCGAATTTCTCTTTGGAGCCGGCCGGCCAAGAGCCATCCAGCCGCGCCGTTGCAAACTCTCGATGACCGAGCACAATGAGCGCCTTCTTTTGGAGATGGAGATGAACCCCGCGCTCCTCCAGGGCTCTCACCGCGAGCAGTGGGAAGCGATCTCCGACCTCGACTCCTTCTTCAAGCGGGTGTACAATTACTTTGACGAGCGCGGCCTCCGGTGCATCCTAGCAGGCCGGCTGATCAGCCTGGGGATGCTCGCCTTCACCATCGCCCTGTCCGCCTACCTGGCGGAGGCCGTCAACTGGGACGGGCTCGTCAACGAGTGCGTCGACGAGAGCACGTGCGCCGGCGTCAAGCTGCTGCGGGATGACTCCTTCCGCTCGCCCTCGCCCTTCCTCGTGCTGTTCCTGCTCGTCTTCTCGGTGTACTGGCTGTGGATGCTGCTCCACTTCTTCTGGGACCTGCGCGCCCTCCTCGAGATCCGCTCCTTTTACCGCCACAAGCTCAACATCGACGACTCGGAACTGCTCGTCGTCAGCTGGGACACGGCGCTCTCCCTCCACCCTCCCTCCCTCCCTACCTCTCCCTCCACCCTCCCGCCCTGCCTCCCTGCCTCTCCCTGCCTCCCTGCCTCTCCCTGCCTCCCTGCCTCCCTGCCTCTCCCTGCCTCCCTGCCTCCC